CTTTTTTTTTCCAACGATATAACAGCTCCATTAATATCAAAATAGCGAAAGAGTACAAGGGAAAAACCCCAATTCCGAACAAATGAGAGAACAAGCCACAGACTTGCCTAAGCAAACTACAAACAATCATCCAAACCTCATAAAAACACCAACCAAAGGAGAACATCAAGGACTTAAACAATCGCACTAAACACCATAACTGGAAATACAACACAGCTATAAAACTTAACACATGAATCAAAACATACATAAGTCAAATAGCCCACTGACACTAGACCTAGACTATAGACTGTGTACATTCATCATCCAGAAGCATTTCTGCCTTTGTATTCAGTCCAGTCCCTAACAGCAGCCCGAACAATCCACTCCTCTGGTTGCCATTGCCCTTCAAAGATCCACAAGTTTCTAGCTCGCCATAGCCACCACAAAATGTATGTGGAAAGCTGAATCCTATCTTCTGAAATTTCATCCTTCTTCATGTTGCTAATCCACCACCACCACTGCTTAATGGAAAGCTGTTCTTCAAGAATCCTATCCCACTGAACTGGAGCAAGCTTCCAAACTAGCACGGCTTTTGAACAAGAAAACAGGACATGTTCTTGTGTTTCTTCTCCTTCCCCACAATTGGTCATGGATGTTCAGTCTAATTTGCAGAGGAGAGGTATGGATGTTGAGGTGAGATGGAAATTGGTCATTGTTACTAACACAATTGTGACAAAATATAATTTGTCACAAATAGAATCGTCATAAATTATTTGAAGTCAATGACGAAATTAAATAATGTCATAAAATAATAATCTTCGGTGGCGAAATTTAAATTTGTCATTGTTAGCAACACAATTGTGACAAAATATAATTTGTCACAAATAGAATTGTCATAAATTATTTGAAGTCAGTGACGAAATTAAATAATGTCATAAAATAATAATCTTTGGTGGCGAAATTTACATTTGTCATTGTTACTAACACAATTGTGACAAAATATAATTTGTCACACATAGAATCGTCATAAAATATGTAATATACTGACGAATTTAAGTGGTGTCATAAAAAAGATATTCATTTGCGACAAACAATATATTTTGTCATATTAGCTTACCATTTGTGATTAAATATTATCCGTCATAATAAAATCCGTCACTAAAAATGTGAATTAATGATGAAAATAAACGTCGTCATAAAATTCTATTTAACGGTGACGAAAATATACTTTGTCATTGTTGCCTGACAAACTATGACGAGAAGTCATCCGTCACAGACAATATTTTTATATAAATGTGACGAATTTACATGTTTAGGTGACAAAGTGAGATGTATTGTCATGAAAAGTACGTTTATGTGACGAAAAATTAATTCTAAGATGACGCATGTAGCAACCGTTGCCGTATGCAATGATTTAATGACGATTTTTAAAATTCGTCACCATAAGGCTACATACGGTGACAATTCTTTTTTCGTCACAGGAAATTTGTCACTTTTTAACAGATTTCTTGTAGTGGGACCACATCCATGAAGCATTCTGAGCTGCCCTTGCTTTAATGATACTAACTGTTGGGAAATATTTGCCCTTAAAAAGTTTGCTTATGAGCAAGTTTGGTCTGGTTGCAATCTTCCATAATTGTTTCAAGATCAGAGCATCATTGAAAAGATCATGGTCATGAAAACCCAATCCACCAAAAGCCTTTGGCATAGTGATGGTTTGCCAATTCTTCCAATGCATCCCAGCATTCTGCTCACACCCACTGCTCCACGAAAACTTTGCACAAATACTTGCGAGCTCCTGACACACTGACTTAGGCAATACAAAACAAGACATAGTGAATAGAGGCAAAGCATTGAGAACAAAGTTCATGAGAACTTCTTTACCAGCCAAAGACAGAAAATTGTTTTTCCAGCTTGAGACCCTTCTCCTCACAGCTTCAATAACAAAATCAAAGGTCCGTCTTTTTTATCTACCAATTTCTAGTGGCAGCACCAAGTATTTAGAAGAATGATGGACCTTAATCCCTTGGAGCATCTGACAAATCTCATCTTTCCTATCAACGGACACATTTCTGCTAGAGAAAATGGAGGACTTCATCAAATTCACCTTTTTCCCTGTGTACTTGTGATAGCAGTTCAATATTCTCAAAACAACACAGATAGAGTTTGCATCAGCACCACAGAATAATAAGGAATCATGAGCAAATAACAAATGTGACACCTCAATCCCCACTCTAGTTATTTTTTTTCTCTATGTAAGTTAAATAATTTATATTAAAAATCTTTTATTTTTACTAATAATAAATTTAAAAAATATGTTATGTTCGTTATCTAATGCATGAGTTTATATCAGGCATACAACTAATAAAATTTTATTTATATTTATGTAGATTGAGAAGATATATTGTTAGTATATGATTAAAATCGATTGGTTGATATCAATTGATAGTTATATAGCTAACAATATCACTGACTGCTCCCTCAAATAATTCATAATTAAATATAATCTGAGGTGGCAAAGGCTTCTGTAGCATGTGGATGCAAGCAACCGATCATTTATTATTTATATTTTCGTTTAACAAAAAATAAAAACATATATACATTCTGGAAATGTCTTTGGCATACTATATAAAGCCAAGCAGAGGTAGCCATTTTAACTCGCCTCAGATCAATCAATTGTGTGATCAATTAAGAAATACGAAAACAATAAATGGGTTTGACAGGGAAACTTGTTTCTCAAATAGACATAAAATCCGATGGAGATGTTTTTCATGAGATTTTCAGAGAGAGACCTCACCACATTTCAGACATGAGCCCAGCTCACATTCAAAACTGTGATCTTCATGAGGGTGATTGGGGAAAAGTTGGATCTGTTATTTTCTGGAACTACACCCATGGTACTTATTACCTCCAATTTATATGAAATTATTAAGTGCTAATTAAACTATTTCACTTTGTGCGATTATTTAACTAATTATTGAATTTAGTTTTCCTAATTCTATATATATGTATAGTCTTGGATAATAGTGTTGTTATTTTCATTATGAATTAATTTGATGGCGTGTAGATGGGAAGGAGAGTGTGGCAAAGGAGATAATAGAAGCAATTGATGAGGAGAAGAAGTCGGTGACCTTCAAGGTGATTGAAGGTGATCTTATGGAGCTCTACAAATCCTTCAAGCTCACTGTCCACGTGGACACCTGCGGGGATGACAACCTGGTGACGTGGACTTTCGAGTACGAGAAAAAGAGTGAAGATGTTCCAGATCCGCATACTCTCATGGACTTTTGCCTTAAAGTCACCAAGGATATCGAGGCACACCATCTTCCAAAGCCTAATTAATTATTTGAGTGTCTTATATGTTCTGAATTTCATCTGCTCAAAAGCTCCCTATTTATGTATCTTTAATTTATGTGTGATATATATTATGCGCGCGGTTGATAAAGAAGTTTGAGATTGTGCTCAAGTGTGATGTAATCTTGTGATTATATGAATAATAATGGACTCTATGCGTGATTGTTGTATGATCCCTAATGTTTGAGAGTGAATAAATCGTGGTTTTAATACATGGGGTTTGATTTTATTGTTGTAGACTGAAAAAAATATATATATATATATTAAAAAAAAATTAATTGTATTTCCAAATTGTTGTAATTTTTTTAGCTTATAGCTTTGTATCGTCATGTTATATATAACACATTTACGAATAAGCACAACTCGATAAATCAAGAAGCACCAACTAAGAGAACAAGGATCAGAATCTCGGATCTAAGAACTCCAACACTATACAATGGCTACTCAAATCTGAAGAAAACAAGTCGGATCTCAACTAGCTGACAGCGTCGGACGAGAGAGCTACCAACACCACTCCTCAACTGTGGCACCCGACATTCGACCGTCTGGAGAAAAGATGAGCTTGAAGTGGGTCCCATCTCGCCCGCTATCGAACGCAAAAGGGTCGGTCGAGATTTTGTAGGGACAAAATGGGCAACGACGCCTTCGCCTACGCCAACATCTAATTGGCCGAAGCGGCAGACTGAGGTGGCGGCAACTTCATGGTTGGACGGCGAGTGGCAGGGAGGCATTCTACATGGAGAGGAAATAATTGAGGTGAGAGAGAAGTAACAAAAGAATTATTAGAGAAATATGATTACAACTAAATTTATTTAAGTGTTAATTCCTCTAAAATCCCTACACCACAATTCATCTCTAAGTCCCCAATACATTTAACTTTCCTCTGCACTCCCTAATACATTAATCTCTTTCCTCCCAACTCCCCATATCTATATACTTATTATTATTTGTCATTTAATTTTATTCATACCTCGCAACAACTGAAAAATATCAGAAAAAAGAAAAAAAAAAAACCACCTCGTCTCTCAAGATCCCTAAATTCTTGAAAAATCTAATCCCAAATTAAAATCTCCAAATTCTTGAAAAATCTAATCCCAACTCAATTGCTTGTTCGCAGAACTCGATTATGTAGCCAAGGTGGAGGCTTCCGAATCAATTCCAGTATGGAGACCGATTTCCCGACAGCCGTGAAGCTCAGGAGCACCCTTTGCGGTGCCGTATTCTCGGAGTCAAACCCGTCGAGGACTGCCTCAGAGCATCTCAAGAGAGGGACATGCCCCAACTCAGCCTCACGCTGAAGCCGATTTCTCAGCTGCCGCCTTTGGCCTCGCCCTCTTCACACCCTAATCACCGGAAATGGAGCTAGGATTTCCAGCAAGCTACAGGTAGAAGCAAATTATTATGCGCAACTCGCGATTTAATTTGGAAATTTATTGGTAAAAATATTTAATTTTTGTATGGTTTTTCTCTTTCTAGTTTGGAGATTCTAAATCAAATATTCTCAGATATTAAGATTGCTTGAAAGAAAGTGCAATTTCAAGGATCTTAATTAGTGCCCTCTTCNGTTTTGAAGAATTTATCACAAATATTATTCATAGAAAATATAAATGGATTATTCATAGATTTTTGTTTTTATTGAGTTACCCGGATGCATCTGCCGGCCGCCGCGGCCGCCGACTGGAGAAGGGAGATGACGTGGAGGGCCGAGGAGGAGACGAGGCCCGAAGTGGGCTCGTCCACAAGCAAGACTCCCGGGTCGTGGACGAGCTCGATATCGATCGAGGCACGATGCCTCTCGGCCCCGGAGATCTCAATTATTCTCGAGCAGGCCACATGGCCGAGGCAAGGTCTCGGATGACCTGGCAGGCCCGGTGGTAGGGAAGACGGAAGAGGCCGGTGTAGGTGAAGGTCTCCTCGACCGTGAGGTGGGGGAAGAAGGAGTCGTCTTGGCTGACGTAGCCCGACAGGCAGCGGAAGGCGGAAGGGTCGACGGGGCGACAATAATCAAGTTTGGGAACGATAATCAACAGTTGGGTTCTGACGAAGCTACCCAGAATCAGTAATACTTTTTGTTAATTTTAGGTCATCAATTAGCCCAGTTTATCGAACATTTAGGATATTTCTGAATGCCTAAAATATTTTGAAAAATGATTCTGTTGGCTTGGGTCTAATAATGCGTAGTTTTTAAACAGATTCAGCTGAATTTGTAAATTGGGTTCACCCGAAAATGAAATGAGATATGCTATGCAGTGTAGTTTTGATGGTTTATGTTGTGGGATACATTTTAGTGAAACAACTGTGTAATCCGATCGATTGTGATAATGTGTGTGTGTGTGTGTGTGTTTATGGTGTAGATTTATTTTAATTGTTTTTCCCTGAGGCAAAGACGTAGAATCTGATTGTCTTGGATATTAATCTAGTTAGAAAAGTGAATGACCCTAACTAATAGTGGTTTCTCCAGTTAGTTGTCCATTTTAAATTGATAGTGTACACAACATTCTTTAGTGCCAACATTATGTTTTTAATGTTTTTAAAACTGATACTAGTTTCTCTTTGTAATAGTACCAACATTATGTCAAACTAGTACTCATTTTTTAGTAGTTAGTATGTATTTTGTACAAAGAAAAAAAGATGTGCAAGTCCTTAATGATACCTGTTTTCATCACAATAGTACCAACTATTTGGTGCTTTAGTACCATATTTCGGGTCTTCAGTACCAACTCGGAAGAACCAAAAAAGAAAAAATACTGAATTTCAGGGTTAAATGATGTTTACATGACCATTGGTAGACATGACGAAATAATGAAATCACGATTAGCAAAATGGTACCAGTTTTACCGATAATAGTACCACATCTTCTTCTATGCAGTACCAGTTCTTGTTAAATTAATACCTACATTGGAGAAAGAACAAAAAATGGATTACTTCAATTTGGTCAACATATGCAAAATTAGTACTAGACCTAGAGTAAGATAGTACGGCAATTATGGTGTTCTAGTACCAGATATCGGGTTTCCAGTACCAACTCCGACGAACGTAAAAAAAAAAGAATTAAAAAAAAAAACCGATTTTTGTAAACTAGTACCTGTTTTGACGCAAATAATACCACTTTTTTTTCTGCGCAGTACCAGTTATTGATCGATTAGTACCAACTTTTGGTAAACAAAAATAGATTATTCAATTGTGGTCAACATTTGCAATAATTGGTACCAGACTTAGAGTAAGGTAGTATCATCTTTCGGTGTTTTAGTACCAAATATTGAGTCTTTAGTACCACTTATAATGAACACATAAAAATACCGAATTTCGGTCTCAAATGATGTTTATATGACCAATAATCGCTTTCACATTATTTTCTATGAGATTTAAAATGTTTTAAATTGAGTTTAATCGTAAAAATGGTCATGAACTCGACACACTAATGAGAAATCACTACCAATACACTTCATTTCATTGAATGACACACTTCATCTCATAGAATCATCATACATGACTACTCCAAATTCTACATATATGTTTTAACTACCACTATTTTTCATCTGAGTCACGCGTGAACAATCCACGTATCATGGTAGACATGAAGGATTAGAGAAATCACGATTCTCAAAATAGTACCTATATTAGCCAATATAGTACCGCATCTTCTTCTACATGGTACCTGTTTTTGATCGATTAGTACCAACTTTTGGTCAACGAAAATAGATTATTCAATTGTGGTCAACATTTGCAATAATTGGTACCAGACCTAGAGTAAGATAGTACCATCTTTCGGTGTTTTAGTACTAAATGTTGGGTCTTTAGTACCACTAGTAATGACCACATAAAAACACCGAATTTCGGTCTCAAATGATGTTTATATGACCAATAATCACTCTCACATTATTTTTTATGTGATTTAAAATGTTTTAAATTGAGTTTAATCGTAAAATGGTCATGAACTCGACACACTAATGAGAAATTACTACTAATACACTTCATTTCATTGAATGACACACTTCATCCCATAGAATCATCATACAAAACTACTCAAAATTCTACCTATATGTTCTAACTTCCACTATTTTTCATCTGAATCACGCGTTAACAATCCACGTGTCATGGTAGACATGAAGGATTAGAAAAATCACGATTCTCAAAATAGTATCAACCAATATAGTACCGCATCTTCTTCTACGTGGTACCTGTTTTTGATCGACTAGTACCAAATTTTGGTCAACGAAAATAGATTATTAAATTGTGGTCAACATTTGCAATAATTGGTACCAGACATAGAGTAAGGTAGTACCATCTTTCGGTGTTTTAGTACTAAATACTGGGTCTTTAGTTCCACTAGTAATGACCACATAAAAACACCGAATTTCGGTCTCAAATGATGTTTATATGACCAATAATCACTCTCACATTAGTTTCTATGAGATTTAAAATGTTTTAAATTGAGTTTAATCGTAAAATGGTCATGAACTCGACACACTAAGGACAAATCACTACTAATACACTTCATTTCATTGAATGACACACTTCATCTCATAGAATTATCATACATGACTACTCCAAATTCTACCTATATGTTTTAACTTCCACTATTTTTCATCTGAATCACGCGTTAACAATCCACGTGTCATGGTAGACATGAAGAATTAGAGAAATCACGATTCTCAAAATAGTACCTGTATTAGCCAATATTATAATACCGCAGCTTCTTCTACGTGGTACCTGTTTTTGATCGATTAGTACCAACTTTTGGTCAACAAAAATAGATTATTCAGTTGTGATCAACATTTGCAATAATTGGTACCAGACCTAGAGTAAGGTAGTACCATCTTTCGGTGTTTTAGTACCAAATATTGGGTCTTTAGTACCACTGGTAATGAACACATAAAAACACCGAATTTCGACCTCAAATGATGTTTATATGACCAATAATCACTCTCACATTATTTTCTATGAGATTTATAATGTTTTAAAGTTTAATCGTAAAATGGTCATGAATTCGACACCCTAATGAGAAATCACTACTAATACACTTCATTTCATTGAATGACGCACTTCATCTCATAGAATCATCATACATGACTACTCCAAATTCTACGTATATGTTTTATCTTTCATTACTTCTCAACCAAATCACGCGTGAAAGATCCACGTGGCATGGTGGACATGGAGGATTAAAGAAACCACGATTACTAAAATGGTACCAATTTTGACAGAAATAGTACAGCTTCTTCTTCTGCGCAGTACCTGTTTTTAATCAATTGGTACCTACTTTTGGTCAGGGAAAATGGATTACTTCAATTTTGGTCACCATTTGCAAAAATTGGTACCAGACCTAGAGTAAGATAGTACCAGCTTTTGGTGTTGTAGTACCAGATATCGGGTCTTTAGTACCAACTCCGATGAACATAAAAAAACACTGAATTTCGATCTCAAATGATATTTTTGAGACCCATTATCACTCTCAAATTAGTTTCTATGAGATTTAAAATGTGTTTAATTAAGTTTAATTGCAAATTGGTCACGAACTCAACGCGCTAATGAAAAAACACTACTAATAAACTTCATCCCATTAAAAGACATACTTCATCTCATTGAATGATCATACATGACTACTCCAAATTCTACCTATATTTTTTAACTTCGACTATTTCTCAACCAAATCACGTGTGAACGATCCACGTGGCAAGGATTGAAGAAATCATGATTACTGAAACGATATCAGTTTTGACAGAAATAGTACCACTTCTTCTTCTGCGTAGTACCTATTTTTAATCAATTAGTACCTACTTTTGGTTAACGAAAATGGATTTCTTCAATTTTAGTACCATATATTGGGTCTTTAGTACCAATTGCGGCAAACATAAAAAAACACTGAGTTCGGTCTCAAATGATGTTTATATGACCCATTATCGCTCTCACATTAGTTTCTATAAGATTTAAAATGTGTTTAATTAAGTTTAATCGCAAAGTGGTCAGGAACTCAACACATTAATGAACGATCCACGTGACATGGTAGAGGTGAAGGATTAATAAAATCACGCTTAGTAAAATGGTACCTGTTTTTAATCAAGTAGTACCTACTTTGGTCAGCCAATATGAATTACTTTAATTTTTGGTCAATGTTTGTAAAAGTAGTACCACTCCCAGAGTTAGATAGTATCCATTAAATGGTAGTTTAGTACCTGATATTGCATCTTCAGTACTAATTCCCACGAACATAAAAAAAATATCGAATTTAGGTCTTAAATGATGTTTATATTACTCAAATCACTTATACATTAGTTTCTATGTGTATTTGAATGGGTTTAATTAAGTTTCCTCGACAAGGGATCATGAACTCAATAGAGCTTTAGTTTCGAAATTTTATTTATCGGTTCATTTTATGAAAATTTAATTTCAATATAAAAACCGCAATTAATTGTATGCTTTGTATTGACACATGTACATGTTCGGTTTTAGGCTTGAGAACTATCATAAACTATTTTATGTTTTTTTTCCTCAAGCTATCATATGCTACTCTTACTCTTCTTAGTTAATTCATATAATAATTGTTATTATAAATAGGTATTCTTTTAATTTTTAAATCTTTATAATTTTTATTTTAATTTTATTTTTTGTATGTTATATCTCAAAATAATCATATTTTAAAGATCTTCGATTTGACATCCACATTGCATATATAAAATAAAAAATAATTACATCTATCATTATAAATAAAACTATATTTATTAAAAAAATAATTTCAAAAATATGAATACAACATAAATTATTTTACAACAAATGTAATAAAAATCTAATTCAGTAAAATACCATAAAATAATCATTTTAATGCATTTTATCATAGATTTTAAATAAAATAAGAAAATTAAGTGAAAAATACGGACCACATTTGGAATTAATTATTTTTTATAGTCATTATACATAATTTTAAAATAAAAAATAATTTATTTTAAATTTTCTATTATACAAATATTAATATATTTAAGTACCTGTATAGTACACGGGTATCGTACTAGTTGATATATATTCCTCTTGAAAATTAGAGAGATCTTTGAATAAATATTTTTTAGTAAAATTTATAATTTAACTGTATTGAATTTTATGATAAATTTGAACGACAGAGTAACATACAACAAATCTTAAAAATTGTGAGATTTGTATAATATAGATTTGTATGAAATAAAAATTAGTAAAATATAATTTTTCTATTTACCAAAATATTTATTTTATGGAACCACATTGTATTCAAATTGAATTTTGAATAAAAATTTTAAAATGACACATATTTTGAAAGGAAATAATGTAACTTAATGTCAGTTATGTACATCATACGAGTTGTGCACTAATTTTAGATAGACATATTTTATATAATTTTGCACAATTTAAATTTCATATAATATTTTAAATAAATTAATATAGGGGGAGTATTACATATTGATTTCATATTTTTTAATTTATAAATAATATTTAGTGAAAATTTTTAATTTATAAATATTAATGAATATCTATTACCCGTGCTTCACACTAGATTCATAATAGTTTGTTTTAATGAGTTACAAAACTGATACATATACTGGAATAGGACAATACCAGTGTTGTAGTAACTCAGTACTTATATGTTGTCATATAATACCGACTTATATGAACGGAAATGAATATATACTGTAAATATTTGTTTACAAAAATGATACCTATAATGTAGTAGGAAAATACCAATATTGTTGGAATTTAGTACCTATATATTGTGTGGAAGGAAAGAGAAAAAAAATAATAAAAAAATTAATAAAAAAAGTAGTAGAAGAGATGAATAGTAGAAGATGAGACAAAACTAATAAAAAACGTGTAGAAAGAAAGAGAAAGAAGAATAGTAAAAAAATAAGAAAGTTAGTAGTGGAGAGAGAGAAGAATAATAAAATAATAAAATGGGATGAATGGTAGTGGGGATAATGTCATTTTTAATTTATTTTTGATTTATTTAAATAATAGGGAGTTAAGAGGAAGATGATTTTAGGGGTAGGGAGTTCAAAGGAAAAAAAAACATCCTAGGACTGAGGAGGAACTTGAAAAGTGCTTTAGGGATTTTAGAAGAAGATGTCTTTTATTTAACCAAGTGGAAACGCAAAAAAATGAAAAATTTATTGAAAATAATGTATTTACCACTATTAGCTGGAAGAATGAATTAAATGAGGTGGTTGGTAAAGTGAATAATTGTGAAGCAAAATTTGCCTACAAAAGGCAACTCATTTGTAGCAAAATGAGTACGGAAAGAAGAAAGAAAGATTCATTATAGTATATATCTTGTTTCTATCTTGAGTTATTTTTCGTTTTTATAACACGTTATCAACACGAGCATCTACCTGGTCAGAAAGGTAGTAATATGTTAATTATATATATGTATATATATATTATAAAATTAGTATATTTTTTACTAATCTACATATTACAATTATTTTTGACAAGTAAGGCTCTGCCAATAGTCAATAATATGTGGTAAGATGATATTATTAAATTTACTTATGAATTACTATTGATTATGAAAAATAACTTCAAGTTATAATAAATGTATATAATATTATTATTTGTACTTAACACCCACAAAATGGTTTACCTAGTAATGTGGCGTGAAATTTATAACTGTTTATTCTTGTACCCACCGAAAGAATTATCGAATAGTGTGGAGTGACATTTTTATTTGTTTTGTTATTTGTATTTACTAAAAATGTTCACCTAGTAACTCGGAAAAATTCTAAGATAATATGCATGATTAATTATAATTTTATAATAATGAATGATATAACTAACAAATATTATATCAATAATGTGTTTTTATGAAAAAAATAAAAAATAAAAAATCCAACGGCTACTTAACGGCTCTTTTGCAACGGCTATTTATCAATCTATATATATAATACTTCACTTCATGTATTAACACTCATTCCAAAATATTACAATATATTCTCCTCAATAGAAAAAAAAATGTTTGATCTATTATTTATAATTACCATTATATTGGTTATTATATACGGATTAGAAATTTTCACGATGTTGAATCATACTGCTGAATTTATATTTTATGTATTATGTCTTTTTCTAATGTGTTTCTTATTAGGTGTTCTTATCAGTTTGAATAATGAATGATTGTATTTGTAATTTTCTTAAATCAAAACATTGATGTTGTATTTTATAGTTACCATGTCAAACTTGGTGAAGCTCGAGTTTGAGGCACTTGACATCACTGGAAAAAATTACATTTCATGTACATTAGATGCTGAAATTCATTAGGATGCAATGGGATTGGAAAAAAACAATAATTTCCCTAAATGATTCATCCATACAAGAAAAAGCGAGAGCCATGATTTTTCTAAGACATCATATGAATGAGGGGTTAAAAAACAATTATTCTCTTCCGGGCTCGCCATGAATGGATGTCATTACGTTTTCAAGATTTTAAAAAAGTGAGCGAATATATTCAACAATGTTTCGAATATGCTCAGTGCTAAAATTATGTGGGGAAACAGTAACTGACGATGATATGTTGGAAAAAATATTGTCCATATTCCATGCGTCCAATGTACTTTTGCAACAACAATATCGAGCAAAATGTTTTGAGAAATATTCTGAACTGATTTCTTATTTGTTACTGGCTGAACAAAATAATGAGCTATTAATGAAAAATCATGAATCTAGACCCACAGGGTCTACTGCGGTCCCTGGAATAAATGTTGTAATCTCTAGACATGGAACCGGAAATGATAACAGCCATTAGAGATGTTAAATGGTCCTTGGCCCGACGGGCCGACCTGTTTAGCCCGACAAAAAACAGGGTTAGGGCCTTTTATTGCCAACCCGTTTAAATCCGGGCTTTTTAGGCCCGAAGCCCGTTAGAGCTAGCCAAAAAACTGCTAGGGCTAGCCCGTTTAACTTGGGTTGGGTGGTGTATATGTTTTTAGAAAGGTAAGTAATATGTCTCATCCTTGTATATTACAATTTTGCTATTCTACTTCACATGTAATTATGAGTTATAATGTATTATTATTATTTTGATAGATAATTATTAACAAATTTTATTCTATTTCACAGCATAATATTTAAGTCAATCAGAACAACTAATAAAAAACAAATGAGACAAAAATCTAACACATAGAATACAGTGATAGAATATAAATTCAGCAGTATGCTATATTGTGAAAATTCTCGAAGCGTACCAAATAACTAGTCAAATGGTAGTTATAACTAATAGTTCGAACATTTTTTTTTTCTATTTAGAAAAAATATGTTATTTAAGAGTTTGTAATATATGTCATATATGAAGTCTAGTAGTATATATATAATGGTAAATACTAAATAACCGTCGAAAAAAACCGTTAACTAGGTGTAGTAATTTTTTATTTATGATTATTAGGCTTAATAGCAGGAAAATACACGACCTTTTTGTGTTTAGCCATTTAATCACCACCTTTAGACCTTGGCAAATAAATACACGACCTTCACATTTTTGGCAACCCGATACATGTTTTGGTCTGCCGTTAACGGAAATCCTACGTGGCTTTTAAAACAGACGGACACACCAAACGGGCGTCCCAGTCAGCGCCGAGGTGGCAGGGTCGGGTAGTATAAAAGCCAAATGTGCCTCAAATTTTCCCCAAAATCTTCATTCACAAAATCGATTTTTACATGTTGAAACCCTAGATCATCGATTTGCTCCGAAATTCAAAGGGTGTGTCTTCCGTATCATCGATTTGCTCCGAAATTCAGAGGGTGTGTCTTTCATATCATCGATTTAACGTCATGGTTGCAAGGTAACTGCCCTTTCTCTCTTGAAATGTTTAATTTGATTTTATATTTTTTAGGGTTCGATTTGTTAATCTTTTCAAATTTTCCAATTTACAGCGATTTCTTTCTATTATTTATCAATCACAAGGGTAGATTTGTGACTGTCGATGGGTATGAGACGTATTATGGTGATTGTGTTGCCACGGTTACTGGGTTGGATGCAGATAGGCTAGGTTATTTTGACATTGAAGATGAAATAACGAAGTTGGGATATGAAAACTGGGGTAGAATATGTTATAAGCATCGGACAACACGTGAATTTAAAATATAACAGATGATGCTGGTGTTATGGACTGTTTGGGTCAAATGCAGGGAAACAAAAGATATGTTGAAATATATGTGCAAACTGAAGAGGTGGCGTCCGGAGACGCACACCTTCCACTTCGACTTCGGGGAGGCCACGATCACTCTCCAGGACGTTCAGATACTCTTTGGCCTCCCCGTCAGCGGGGAACCGTGCTGGGGACAGACCGTACATCGGACTCCCCAAGAGTGGAGAGGTCATTGCCTGGACGCTCTAGGGTACCTCCCATATGTACAGGTATATTTTTACCTAAAACTTTTATTTGTTTATTTTAATTTTTTTTTATTATTATGTTTATGTATACTTAAGTCATGGGTCGCTTTTAATCTATATATAAACGTATTTCAAGGATGACGGGGTCCAAGACTACGACCCCAAGACTTGGGACATAAATGGTCAGTGCCTGTATTTCAGTAGTCTGGAAGAGGACAAGCGCCCTCTGGAGGATAGACTCCCTACATCAGAGTACGAGAAGAGGACGAGAGCTCTGATACTCTGGTGTATTGGGTCCTTCTTCTTCCCCGACCATCGGGCCAACGGAGTCAACCTCTACTGGTTGTCCCTGTTGAATGTCATCGATGCCATTCCGGGGTACAATTGGGGTGGAGCGCTTCTGGCCGGGGTATATAGAACGCTCTGCGACGCCTACGAGACGCGGGAAAAATATATCAAGAGCTGCGTGCAGTTGATTCAGGTAAATTTATTTACTTGTTAATTGAAAATTAATTTTATTAATTGTAAATTACAATAATATGTGCTAAAAAATATATATGTCCATATGTGCAGGTTTGGGCATGGGAACGCATCCCTCGTGTTCGCCCATTAATAACAAGAACACATTTCGGCTCTCAGGCTAGTTGTCCCTTGGTTGCAAGGTAATAATAACATTTATTTATATTCAACACTTAAGTTATTTCAATTATCAAAATTTGTAATTACAAATAAATTTATTCTGTGATTTTTAAGGTGGGTGGGATCGAGGGACATGAGACACCTGGTGACGGGCACGGCTGCCATCCGAGATCAGCTGAGTGGCCTGAGAGAGACTGATGTAAGTTTCTTAGGTCATAATATTAAATAATTATTATTTTTTTAATTCTATTTTTTATTAAATTTATTAATAATTCTATAAATGTTTTTTTTCACAGTTCGATTGGGTACCCTATCAGACGTACATAGACGAGGGTCGGCTCCCGGAAGTGTGCACACGAGACCGACATCTCTGGATGTACAAGGGGTAGATCTTCTGCTGGAACATCGCAGAACCCCACGAGCCTGATAGGGTGTTCCGCCAGTTTTGGTGCCACCAGCCCATCCCCCAACCGCCGCTCATTACTAGTCTGGCCGACAGGGACACCCGCCACAAAGGTCAGGGCATGACTGGGAGGGCATACACCGATTGGCACGCCTTCCATGCTGATCTTGGGAGGATCTGGACCGAAGAGAGAGATCAGAACGTCCTCCCAGATGTCCCGGTGGATCCCTTCCTGCAGCCGGCAGATGGGTACATTGATTGGTTTCACAGTAGGACTGTGAGACTATTCAATGACCCCAACAACTACGCGGCGATCTCACAGGACGGCGGGTTTCAGCCATATGCCGACCGGGAGAAGTGTCAGGTAACTGTCTGCTATTTTGTGATTTTTTTTATTATTATTATTAATATTATTGAAGTAATTATTATTATTATTATTTTTAATATTTGATAGTTATTTGAATTTTATTTTGCAGTTTTTGGGTACGGAGGTGGCGTATAAAATGCTAACGAACATTGAAGACATTGATACGCTACCTCCCCGAGCGCAGTCACAGTTCCAGCAAGCCCAAGAACTTCTGTACGCTTCTCTGACTGTTGGGGGTCAGTCGATCACACAAGGGGCGTCGTCGGAGCAAATTCTATCTCAAGATGAGTACGCCCCACCCCAGCATACACAGTCTCAGCGGGCGAGGCATAGACCGGCGCCCCACATTGGTGGAGGGAGAAGACGCCGTGACCGCGAACCCGCCGGGAATGAAGAAGACGAAGAAGGTGAGATTTTTTTATTTAACTACAAATATATATATTTTTTTTGTTTCTTTTTATTTATTTGTCCGGTCGAATTATTTATTTTTTACAAAAATTAATTAATTAGGTGGAAAGAAGAACCAACCACGCCTGGACCGACCGCACACTACAAGAATAATCGTTTTTAGTGGCGATAATTTTTGTCGCTATGTGTTTGAATGTCGTCACAAAAAATACCGTCGCTAATAATGTCGCTATATGTTCGAATGTCGTCACAATAATCGTTTTATAGTCATGACATTAATGTCGTCACTAAAATTGGGTCGCCAATAATGATTATTCTTGTAGTGGCAGGATCGTCTTCTTTGGTACCGGGGCCTCGGAGAGGGTCCCGAAGACACGTGACTAGGAAATCATTTACTCCTAGTTAGTTTGTTTTTGTATTATGTGATTTTGTGGACATTTTTTTTTTTTTTTCTTTTATTTTTTCTTGATGGTTTTGAGTACATATTTTGTGGTTCACTTTTTTTTTGTCGGTACTTATGGTTGTCTTTTTCTATATAGTGTTTCATATATGTATGCATGCTAGATTTTATCATTTGACGAATGAATTGATATTAAAGTGATATTATTTTGTGTTCAAAATTTTAAATGAATTGATATTAAAGTGATATTATTTTGTGTTCAAAATTTTAAATCAAAATTTACAAAACATCTTCATAATAACTTAAAAAAAACTAAAAACAAAAAAAAAATACATAAAAACGGATTTTGAAAATCCGTTTTTATAAAATAAAAAAAATAATATATATATAAAAACGGATGTTCGGAATCCGTTTTTATATGTAAAAACGGTTTTTCAAAATCCGTTTTATGTAAAACGGATTTTGGTAAATTGTTTTTTGCTATATTAATTAAGGCTAATTACATCATTAAGAAAAACGGATTTTCATAAATCCGTTTTTCTACTGAAAACGGATTCTGAGAATCCGTTTTTCGGGCAAAAACGGATTCTCAGAATCCGGCCGTTTTACTTTTTTCCACAACTTTTTTTTTTTTTTTTTTTTTCCACA